CCTGCATCATCCTGTAAGTGTTGTTATATTTTGCACATTAATATACATGGCCTTTAACTGACTCTATAACAATTGGAGATAGAAATTCTTTGAAACATCACAAGTATTTGTTATTAGATTAAATAAATGAACAAATACTTATTAGATCTATTGAGTGATTAAATTTCATTTTATCTACCTGTAAAACAGATTTTCAAAAACAATTTTATTCACAAAATACTCTTTCACATCAAATGGTCAATTAATTTGACTAAATAATCTTTTTTTAATAAAAATATTCTAGTAAATTCAAACAAAATTAATTTGACTGCTTTTTGTCCTGATTGACTGATCGATTAGTCATTTGAGCCAAGGTATTCATATTGATTTCATGTTTAGTTAAAGCCTATGTCTCCTAGAGTCTGAGTTCTACTAACATCCATCTAATAAAATCATTAGTTACACAGTCTTAATATACTGAGATTCAAATTATGTAGTACAAAATAATTTAGTCAATCAGATATCTATGGCTAAAATATGGTATCCTGAAACTTTACATATTCAGAAATTATAGCCTTAACACTTGTAAGACTATTTTAAATAATCACAGAAAATAAAATGTAATGTATATAACTAAATGTAGTGTATATAACTAAAACCATACATAAAGAAAAATTCAATTTGCCTCTTTATGCACAACTTAAGTGATTCTTTGCAAATTTATTTGGTTATTTTTAATATAACTACAACAAATTTCCAAATAACTGACTCAGGTCTGTCTCTACAATATCCAGAATATGTGACTGCCACTCATTTTCCCCATCTTTTTGATTTATTGACAGTTGCCTAGACTAATGCCAATATGATTGGATTAATTCTAGGTTTCAATGCCAACTCTATGAGTAACTGCATTTTTAGATTTCTGATACTGTAACAAATGGAAATATGGAAAACAGTACATCTGAAGCATAGCAAGACATTTAAGATGATTTACCATAAAAACCTCAAGTTTAAGCTTTGAATATCAGCAAAATTAAGATAAGTTTATAAATGATTAAAAATAATTATAACCATTGCTAGTAAGAAAGAAAGTGTTTAGTCATGAACTAGAGAGGTCTACCCTATCCAATATTGTTTCTACCTATGGAGACTTTATGGACATACTAACAAAATTCTTGATAAAGGATGCGAATTTTAAAATGCACTATATTTTCATATGAAGATGTCAAAATACCTTCAATGTCTTTTGTGCTTGTTGACAAAAAGAGTCAAACTCTAAAATATTTTTAGAGATTTATTTTGAGCCAAATATGAGTGACCATGGCCCATGACAAAGACCTCAGGAGGTTCTGAGATCTTGTGCCCAAGGTGGTTGGGGTACAGGTTGGTTTTATATATTTTAAGGAGGCATGAGACATCAATCAAATACATTTAAGAAATACATTGGTTTGGTTCAGAAAGGTGGGGCAACGCATAGCAGGGGCTTCCAGGCTGTAGGTAAACTTAAGCATTTTCTGGTTGACAATTGGTTGGGTTTGTCTGAAGACCTGGGATCGATAGAAAGGAAATGTTCAGGCCGGGCACGATGGCTCATGCCTATAATCCCAGCACTTTGGGAGGCCGAAGAGGCGGGTCACCTCAGGTCAGGAGTTTGAGACCAGCCTGACCAACATGGTGAAACCTCATCTCTACTAAAAATACAAAAATTAGCCCGGCATGGTGGTGTGCACCTGTAGTCCCAGCTACTTGGGAGACTGAGACAGGAGAATTGCTTGAACTCGGGATGTAGAGGTTGTAGTGAGCCAAGATCGTGACACTGCACTCCAGCCTAGGTGATAGAGTGAGATGAGAATTGCCTGAACTAGGGAAGTGGAGGCTGTAGTAAGCCAAGATCGTGGCACTGCACTCCAGCCTGGGTGACAGAATGAGACTCTATCTCAAGGAAATGTTCAAGTTAGGATAAAAGATTGTGGAGACCGAGAGACCAAGGTCCTTTTGAAGTCTTATAGTGGCTGCCCTTAGAGACAGTAGATGACAAATATTTCCTATTTAGATGTTTGTTTGTTTGTTTGGAGACAGAGTCTTGCTCTGTCAACAATTCTCCTGCCTCAGTCTCCTGAGTAGCTGGGATTACAGGAGTGCATCACTAAACCCAGCTAATTTTTCTATTTTCAGTAGAGACAGGGTTTCACCATGTTGGCCAGTCTGGTCTCAAACTTCTGACCTTATAAGCCCCACCCACCTCAGGCTCCCAAAGTGCTAGGATTACAGGCATGAGCCACCACGCCTGGCCTCCTATTTAGATCTTTAAAAGGTACTAGACTTAATATCTTAATCTCTTCAGGATTGGGAGGGCCTGGAAGGAAAAGATCTAGCTATGTCAATGGAGATTCTTTACAGACGCAGATTTCCCCCCACAAAGCTTAGCTTTGCAGGGCCATTTCAAGATACGGCAGAGAAATGTGTTTGTGGTAAAATATTTTGATTTTTTTCTTTGTTATGCCAGAGTCAGATTGGAAAGTAAGTCATGATATACAGGGTTAAATAAAACTCATTCTGATGAGAATTTATGGTTTGTGAGAATTTGTGACTCACCAGACCCCTTAGATAGGAATTTGGGCAAGACGAAAAAAAATATCAGAGATGAGTCCTTATGCTGAATCCAATAAATCAGTTGCTAAGACTTCAACTTTTCCCCAACATCACTCCAATTTAGGTATTGTTCAGAACCAACAATTGACAATAAAAGACTTTAAAATGTAAATGGACATTTTCTAAATGAATAGAAGTACAATATCTCAAACCGAGATGAAGCATGATCACACTCTACTTTCATTGGGAGTTTATGACTGAAGTTTTTATTTCAAATGTTGAAGCTTACAGCAAATTACATGGTAAACTGACTTACACAAGGAAAGATTCAAGGCACGAGGCATGTTAATGCTACAGGAGAGAAGATTTGAGGAGGAACCTGAAAAGAATAATTCCTTTATTCTCACAAGAATGAGAAACTCCAGATTGATATAGAAGCCATTTAACAGAAATGTAAATTTTATGAGAAAACAGCTGAAATTACAATATTTATCAAGCTATGTGATAACTTGCTTATTTTGAAGTAGTAGAAGAAATCATGAAAAACTGTTGATAGTGTTCTATGTTTCAAAATATTCTATGCTCTTTAAAGATACATAAATAAACATAACACATAAAATGGGAAAATACACCATGTACAAGTAGTTAATGTTACATAGAGAGCTCAAACTATACATGTTCTAAAATCCTAAGACGTAGAATAAAGCAATTACAATTTCTTGTCATAAAGTCCATAATAATATCTAATGATTCTTTGTATTTCTGTGGTTGTTTCCTTTTTTGTTTGTGCTTTTATTTGGGTCTTCTGAGTTTGTTTGTTTGTTTTTTTTAAGTATGGCAAAAAGTTTCAGTTTTGTTTATCTTTACCCTCCAAAAAAAACCAAAAAATGCAAAAATGCTTTTGTTGTGTCACCTCTCTTCTGTATTTTATGATCTCGATTTCATTTATTATTGCTGTCATCTTTATTTCTTGCCTTGTACTAATTTGGTTTTGGTTTGTTTTTGCTTTTCTGGTTCCTCGAGTTACATCATTAGGTTGTTTATTTGAAATATTTCAACTTTGTAATGTAGGCATTTATTGCTGTAGACTTCACTCTTAGTGCCGATTTTACTTTATCTTATAGATTTTAGTATGTTGTGTTTTGATTTTGATTTGTTTCAATATTTTAACATTTCATTCTTAATTTCTTCATTGACCTATAGGTTATTCAGGAGCACGTTGTTTAATTCCCATGTGTTTTTCTAGTTTATAAGGTTCCTCTTATTATTAGTAGTTTTATTTTCTATGGTCTGTAAAGACACTGGGTATGATTTCTACATTTTTGAATTTATTCACCTCTCTGTGTCCCCAGGAACTTACTCATTCTCACATTTCAGTTGTGGGATATTACTGGTAATAATCTTGGTGATAGATATTTGTTTTTGATTTTCTGTTCTGGGGAGTGAAGCAAGCTTGCTTCTCCACCACCATTTTGGAAAGGAAGAGCACAGATATTCTTTAGAAAGTATGAGAAATTGTTATAAGGTCTATGCTAAGCAATACCATAATACGATTATTGGATTAGTATTAGGAGACAATTCTCCACAGGTCTGTTTTACTTCTGTGCACCTTGTGAACAGAAACAGTGTGAACAGAAACAGTGATGGTCTTTGTTCCAGATAATATTTGCAAGGATATTTTTCTAACAAATAGTCTTGGAAGATAGAGATGGTCTTTTTTACTGCTTATAGGGAAAAAGGTGTTTTTCTCCAGGGCAAAAGGCAGTTATGCCCATTGCACATTATAAAACAATTAGATTTCTTAAATTCAGTGTTGTTCTCCTGTAACAGAGCCCACGGCATGTGCAGGTGTCATCTGCCCCTTTTCATGTCACCTATATATTTGGGATCTGAGGAACTGATATAAGAAAAATGATATGTCCTAGCTATTGCTATTTTTAAGTAATAAACTGTCATTTGTCCCTGACCCAGGAGTCTCATGTGTTCTGCCAGCATCCATGGCCGACTAACGTGTTAGGTTGCAAATAGGGTAAAACCCAAGTTTTTCACATTTGAAATACAGACAATAGAATGTGTTTAGAAAGAACAGGAACTTCAGAATCAGACTATTTCACATTCAAATTTGATCTCTGCCTCTATGTGATCATAGGTAAGTCTAAAAACTTTTCTAAGTCCCAATTTTCTCACCTGCAAAATGGAGGATAATAATGCCTAACTTTTAATATTTATGAGACTATTAACAGAAAGCACAAGTAACATGCTGATATTTTGCCTGACACATACAAAAATATAATTAATGCCTATCTTTGTCTTTCCCTCTTTTTTTCTTCCCCAAATCTATGTTAGTAATTCTACTCAGGAATATCAATCAACAGAAGATTAACTTGCAATTTATAAAAGCATTTATTTTGTAGTAGTCTCTCTATCACCTGACAGGATGGTCAGCCAAGATCTGCAGCTGCACTGCCTGGCAGGTGAGACTGTAGCCTGGTCATCTAGTTAAGAGCTTTCTAATCATTAATGAATCAAGTCCAGAAATGTTCCTATATAGTGTTAAGATAATTGGCAAAAGTGTCTGGAGAGAAATGATTGGGCAGCATCTTAGTAAAGCTACTCTGGCAAGTCGAAGATAAGAAGGAAGAATGTATTTGCTCTTTTCTTTTTTTTTCTTTCTT